TGCACAGCGTCTCAACAGATCTGTCCAGGGAAGCACAGCTGACCGGGCAAGATAAGCCTGGATCAGCCAACTCCTGGTCAATATGCCGATATGTAAACATAAATTCATACTGTTGCATGCTGTCAAGAACCCTATGGTTGGTTTGTTAAACACCATTACTGTATATAACGCAAGGAATTGCGTTGCCAATTTGAAGTTATATGGTTCTTCAAGAAAAAGACACGCAATCTCTTTCCAGGTGATTTACAGCTTCTGAAAACCCACCTGGAAGGTCAGCTATGAGTCAGTTCCAAATTATTACTCAACAACAACAACAACAACAAATGTATATTACAGTTAACTGATAAAATTTAGATTACATTTCAACAGATTAAAGCAAGTGTCAAGTAAAATAAGGGAGCTCTGGTGGCACAGGAATAGGATACTGTGCTGCAATCTCAAATCTACCAGCTGCTCCCTTGAGACTGACTGCCTCTGAAAACTAGATGCAGGGTCAGCTATGGGTCAGTTCTGACTTGATAGCACACAACAACAAAGTAAATGTAAGCAATAAAATTTTTTAAAAATATTAATTTGTTCTCATAACTAAAATTTACAGAATACTACAGGGCCTCCACAAGAAAAAGACTGTTAACCCAATTATAAAATAGGCAAAAGACATGGAAAGGCCTTTTTTTACAGAGGAAGACATTCAGATGGCCGACAGACATATGGAGAAATGCTGAAAATCACTGGCAATAAGAGAGATGCAAATCAAAACCACAATAAGATTCCATCTCACCCCAACAGCAGTGGCAAAGTTTAACAGGCTAGCAAGCAATAAATGTCAGAGAGGATGTGGAGACATTGGAACTTCCACACACTACTGGTAGGATTGTAAAAGGGTACAACCACTTTGGAAGATATTTTGGCACATCCTCAAAAGGCTAATCATAGAAATTCTGTATGACCCAGTTAGGTATATATACAACTGTTAAGAATATATCCCAAGGAAAACAGAACTGAGATACAAAAAGAGATTTTCACACTGATGTTAACAGCTGCATTATTCACATTAGCAAGAATATAAAAACAGCCCATATAAATGATTGGATTGGCAACTGTGGTACATTCACATAATGGAATACTGTGCAGCACTCAGGAACAACAATTTTTCAATAAATTGAGAATTTGAGTATTTTTAGAGTCTAGGCAGCACTGTGCAGAGTGAACTAACTCGGGCATAAGAACAAATACTGTATCGGACCATTATTGTAAAACTAGAAGGATAACCAGTAAGATATGTATAGATATCCAAAGAGGGAAAGAGGTAAGGGTCTGAGGGTAGGAAATCACAGAGTTGAAGAGTATGGGGAAGGGAACAAAAAAAAATGTCATGTACCTGAATGAAACACAATTAATAAATAAAAAAGAGAATAATTTAGAAGTGCTCAGACTAACAAACAATTAATATGTGATTTCATGATGGGGATCTTAAATAAGATGCAAAATATAAAATTGACCATAGAGAAGATTCCAAAATAATTCTGTTATTGAGACACTGCAAAAATGCAAAAAGACAACTTAAAAATGGGAGATGACTAGTCAAGTGTTTAAAAAGGACTTTATGTGTGGAATGAAGGTTGCAGAGTGGAGTATACTCGGGGGGGGGGGGGGGTTGAGAGGGGAGAAAAGGGCAACAATGAATGAATGGAAATCCAAAATCTCTGTAAATGTTCATTAAAATTAATAATAATTTTAAAAAGTAAAAATAAAAAAAGGACTATATGAGGATTACAAAGAGGAATGTGGCATCAGGATTGGTGGAAGATTCATCACAACCCGCATTATGCAGATGACACAACCCTGCTTGCTGAAACTGAGGAGGACCTGAAGCGCTTGCTGCAGAGGGTCAAGGACTGCAATCTTCAATATGGATTGACGCTCAACATCAAGAAAACAAACATTCTCAAGACCGTTACTGTAGAAGAAGTATAAGGATCCAGGATGGGTGGGAGAAGCTGGAAGCAGAGGGATATTGATGTACAGGGGGAAGAGGGGATTCATCATTGGATTGTACCATCTGATGGGTGGAGGGTGAGGGAAATTGAAAGACTTTGAATTTATATCAGAATTTTGTAAATAAACTAGTGGGGAAAAAGAGTCAGCTTGGGGAGGGGGAAGGGATGGAGGGGGACAAAATGCGCAACAATGAATGAATTAAAATCTAATTTTTCTGTAAACTTTTGTTAAAATGACAAAATAAAAAAAATTATTAAAAAAGAAAAAGAGTCTCACCACTGGGCCGATTGGCAGCATTATGATAGATGGTGAAGCGATTGAGATTGTTCATAGATTTAGTTTGCCTGAGTCCACAATCAACATTCTTGGTACCAGCAGCCAGTAAATCAAGAGACTAACTGCACTGGGAAAGTCAGCTGTCAGGGCCCTCTCTAGAGTACTGAAGAACAATGTTGTCAGGCTGGAGACCAAGGTGCGCCTGATCCAGGCCCCAGTCTTCGCAATTGCATACTATGCATCAGAGAGCTGGACAGTGACTAGGGATGACAGAAAGAGAATTAATGCCTTTGAGCTGTGGTGCTGGAGAAGAGTGTTGAATACACCATGGACTGCTAGGAGAATAACCTGGCTCATCCTGGAGAGGGTGAAACTGGGCTGCTCTTTGGAGGCAAGGATTCTGAAGCTTCGTCTGACACACTTTGGACATGTTGCAAGGAGTGACCAGTCTCTGAAGAGGGACATCATGTTCTGGAAGGCAGAGGGACACAGTGCTAGATAGGAAGACCCTTGATGAGATGGATCAATTCAGTGATTGGGGTAATGGGAGTAGGTGTGTTGGAAACAGTGAGGTTGACACAGGATAGAACAGGGTTTAAGGCTCCGTACATAAGGTCGCTACGAGTCACAAGCAGCTTGACGGCACTTAACAACAACATGTAAGAATTAATTTATAAAGGACAATCAGCTCAGCAGAGACATGGGCACAAGATATAAACAGGCTTTCACCAAAGAAGAAAACTCAAAAACCAGTAAACCTAAGAAAATATGGCTGAACTTTGTGCCAATAAAGCTCACAAATGAGATATGATTTTTACTTCATGAATTAGTAAAGAAATTTAAACACTCAACAGCAGTATGAAGTGCTAGCAAGTGTGAGCTACAGGGTATACAGAAACACATACACATATATATAACCTGGACACACATCCAGTTATATATACACAGTTGGTAGGAATATACTTTAAAAAAAGATTGTTGTTTTCTTAAATTTCAAGATGTTCTAACAATTTCAAGATGCTCTAACAAGGTTTGTAATCTTGATACAAACTACTGAGAACTATCACACAGCTGTACTAGAAGACATACATGGAAATATTCAGAACAATTTTAATGAGAAAAACTAAAAATCTCGTGTCAGTCAATGGAATAACTAAATAAATGATATATTTTTAAAGATAGATTAGTAAAAATTAATGTGGCAGCCACGTGCACCTACATGAATGATACAGAGTACAATGTAGAATAAAATAAACTTACCAACTAATACTCAAAAGTATTAGGCGTGTGTGTGTGTGTGTGTGTGTGTGTGTGTGTGTGTGAAGCTCTGGTGGTATAATCCATAGAGAGCTGCGTAGCTTCTGGGTTATTGTTTGAAGCTCTTGTGGTATAGTTCACAGATTGCTGCATAGCTTGTGTGTGTGGTATGGGTGTGTGTGGTGTGGGTATATGTTTGAAGCTATTGTGGTACAGTTCACAGTGAGCTGAACAGCCAATCCAAAGGTGGTTCAAATTCACAAGTGGCTCCATGGGCAAAAGATGGTCAATTTACAGTCCCCAAAACCCACCAGAGCGTTGCTCTGAGCTGGTTCTGACCTCATGACTATGAGTATTGAGTCTGTATGTGTGTGTGAAAACTTACATGTACTTATGTATGTGTATTAAATAATTTTTTTCCATTGTAAGACTTTCAGAATCAGAGTTTGTTAGAATTTAAAAACAACACTCAAGATGCTTAAAACAAAAAACCCAAGGCCACAGATAACAGGTTCAGTATACAATTATTGCTAAGTGTTGGAGTTGTGTCTCTCAAAACTATCCTGGGTTCCCACACCCCTCCTGTCTTTCTATTTTTAAAATTTTTTAATTTTATTATTTTTGTGTGTGTACCATCAAATCAGATCTGACTGGTACAAGAGGAGATTGTCCCTCCTCCAGGAGAGCATCTGGTGGATTTGAACCACGTACCTCTAGGATTGCAGTGCAGCTTCCTGTCACTAGGCCAACACCCCTCCTTTCTAGTGTTCTTTGCCTTAAGAGTTCTAGTTCAGCCCATACTAGATTATCAACAAAAATGAAACTCAAAGCTATCATTGTTATTACAGCCAAAGAGGTCAGAAAATCAGAGATGTCATACACAATGACAAAGATTCCCAGAGCTATAATCCATTACCCTGTGCAGACAACCATACACACTTCAAGCCTACCAGGAAAGGGCACTCTGCATGTCTTTGAGCTTCAGCTTGGATATCTTGAAGCATCATGTTTTGCTTGTATAAAAGGCAGCTTTTTAAGAAAAAATGAGTCTATCAAAACAGTTTTCCCAAAACAGCCAGAGACCTGGGAGACAAAAGACCCCTGTGATGAAAGGATCAAATCAATTTTTATATTTAACACCTGGGAGCTCTGGTGGCTAAATGGTAAAGCATTATGCTGTCAATCCAAAGGAACAGGGTTTGAATGATGAATTGCTCCATGGGAAAAAAGATGAGTAATGAGCTCCTGTGCAGTTTACAGAGAAAACCTGCTGAATGGTCAGCTATGAGTCAGTCCCAACTCGATGGTATTCAACACTAACATCCCCAAAATATTTTATAGAGTCTACAACTGGGGAGGAGGAAGAAAAGTATTTCTACTTGAGCAAACAGATAAAGCTCTACAGAGGTTATTAAAGCAAAATTCGAGATGTTTCGGATAAAAAATAAGCATGCAAAATTCTAATTTTACCTTTTCATGTCTATTTTATTTACATGGTGACTTCTTTTCAGTATCCAAAACCTAAAATTAAAAAATAATAGTAATAATTATTTTGGTGCACTAACATCTAATTCTGGTACCTCATGGTTCTAGTAATTTCAGTAATATTCATCCTAAAAATCAGCAAATAATATTTATCACTACAACAGAAGCCAAAGAACAAATTATATTCATACTGTTTTTCCCACATGTACTTCATACTACTAATAAATGACCAAATATTTGGTATAACTTTTAATTTCAGAATAATCTTTCTGATTTTAAACCTAGAAATATCTAGAAATAATCTCCTCTGACTTTCTAATATTTATGTTTATGGCTAGACAGTAATGCTTCATCCTAAAATAATCTTTTCTTTTTTCTTTTTTTAATTGAGATTTTAATTAAAGTTTATAGAGAACTTGAATTTCTATTCATTCACTGTTGCACATTTTCCTCCCTGACCTCCATAGTCTTTTATTTTTACATATATTTTAATTAAATTTGAAAATACCTCAGCTAACATATGAGAATACAAATTAAGCAAATATTCTCTTTGTATCTTTTCGCACAAACAGAAAGAACACTGAAGAAAATACTTAGTAGTAACTACCTCTTAGTCTTTGATAAATTTTAAGATGTTATCAACCAACAGTCCCTTACTATCCTTTTAAGATTTTTAACAGAAGTACTAGATTTCCTATCTGCTTTCTTTTGTTTAGCTTAGTCAATAAAACCTTATCAGAAGATTTTTTTAAAAATTCCACTTTCTACTAACAGTGAATCATATAATACTTTCAGCTACAAGAAGCAGCACACAAATTTCCTAAATTTACTTATTATATGATCATTCTTGAAGCATCCCATATGCTAACTTATGAGGCACTCTCCTTACACAGTTATCTTTTCAAATTCTCACACATAATTTAAAGTACGATTTTAAAAAAGAAAAACAAGACTTTTAAAATTGTACTACATACTCTGAGTAATAGCTCTTGTGTTTCAGCAGTCAGTGGGGCATGGGAAAACTTGCAATATTCTCCCTGATAACATTTTGTTCCTGTATGGTAAAACTTGCATGGATATTCATGTAATTCAAATGTTAAGGAAGAGAGCAATTTTAATCTTACAAAAATTAATTTACACTAGTCCTGCGTTATGCAGATGACACAACCCTGCTTGCTGAAACTGAAGAGGACCTGAAGCGCATGCTGCAGAGTGTCAAGGACTGTAGCCTACAATATGGATTGAGGCTCAATGTCAAGAAGACAAAGATTCTCACCACTGGACCAATTGGCAGCATCAGGATGGATGGTGAAGAGATTGAGATTGTACACAGCTTTAGTTTGCTTGGCTCCATAGTCAACAGTCTTGGCACCAGTAGCCAGGAAATTAAAAGGCACACTGCCATGGGAAAGTCTGCTGTTAGGGACCTCTCCAAAGTACTGAAGTGCAATGGTGTCTCTCTTGAGACTAAGGTACGTCTGATACAGGCCATGGTCTTTGCAATCACTTGTTATGCATCAGAGAGTTGGACAATGACCAAGGAGGACAGAAGGAGAATTGATGCCTTTGAGCTGTGGTGCTGGAGAAGAGTTCTGAGAATACCATGGACTGCTAGGAAAACAAACAGATTTGTCCTGGAAAGGGTTAAACCGGGTGGCAAGGATTCTGAGACTCCATCTAACATACTTTGGAAATGTTGTGAGAAGAGACCGGTCCTTAGAGAGGGACATCATGCTTGGGAGGGTGGAGGGACAGCGCAGGAGAGGAAGGCCCTCTATGAGGTGGATTGATGCAGTGACTGGAATAATCGGGATTGGAGTGTCAGAGACAGTGCGATTGGCACAGGACAGAGCGGAGTTTAGGGCTGTTGTACATAGGGTCGCTATGAGTCGCAAACGACTCGATGGCACATAACAACAACAACAAACAAGTCCCAGTCTAAGTCCCTGCTGTCAAACTGACTCATTGCTGACTCTGCAGGGGGTTCCAGAGCTGGGCTCACACGGGGACACACTGCCCATCTTTGTCCCACCACGCAGGCAAGGCCTTCAGGTTAGCAGTGCGACTCCCTACAGCCCACGCCACTAGCGCTCCCTTTTCTTACTAGTCTGTCTCTCTATCCCATCGCCATTAAGTTATGACCTACTGACAGCTGAGCTTACAGCAAGTTCTAAGAGGCTGTAAAACACACGGGAGGAGCTTGCCTATTTTTCTCCGCGAAGGAGCCGATGGGTTCGTACCAGCTTTAAGTTAGCAGCACAATCCCTTACCCACAAGGCCACCAGAGCTCCCCTTCCTCCTAGTAGAAAAGATATTAAATTTTAATTGGATTACATGAAAAATCTAATTTTATGATTACATATACAAAATGTATTGGCTATCAGGTTTTTTTTCCTTATAAAATGGTTACCCATGGTGGACAGTGTTTAGTGGAGCTCCCCGATTAAAACAAGCTTGGAAGCAAAAGTGGCATCCACTTCCGAAATAGCTTGCCCCTGAAACCCTATGAACCTGAAGAAAGAATGTACGTTATACAAGTGTCCATGTCTTTCGTTCATAGGGTTGTTATGAATCGCCTACGACTTGATGGCACTTAAGAACAGCATAGAGAGAGCTCAGTTGGCCTAGTGGACAGAAAATGATACTACCAAGCCAAATGTGGGTGACTAATCTGCAGCCCTCAGGCCTGTTTTTAATTGGTTTTGGTCAAACATCCTTATAGGTTGTATAGCCCTAGTATGTTCACCTTGCTGTACAGAGGTAACTCGTGGTGGCTATGAAGCTGAACACTCTGACACTGATGTGTCAAATGCAAGAATGGTTACCCATGGTGGACAGTGTTTGGTGGAACTCCCCAATTAAAACAAGCTTGGAAGCAGGAATGGCATCCACTTTCGAAATAGCTTACCTCCAGAAACCCTATAAATCTGGAGAAAGGATGAAAGTTATACAAGTGTCCATGTCCTTCATTTATAGGGTCGCTGTAAGTTGCCTATGACTCGATGGCACTTAACAATACAACATAAACTATTAGTATGTTTTGTTGTTGTTGTTAGGTGCCGTTGAGTCGTAGACGACTCACAGTGACCCTATGAACGAAAGGCCTGAGCACTGTTCATACAGAGAGTTTCCGGAGGCAAGACATTTCGGATTTGGTTCCAACTCATGGTCACCTTCCATATGGTTTACTAGGTTATAAATATCTACAGGAGGACATGATCTTTCTCATGTGTTGCTGCTTGTTGGTTTACACAATCAAACTTTCAGTAAAATAGGCGATACACATTTTAAATACCTTGATAAATGCGATCTACTTAAAGCATTCATTTGGAGTATGGAATCAAAGTCAATCTCTTATTTAAATGACTTACTAGATTCTTCAAATATTGTTGCTATTATTAGGTACCATCAAGTTGAGTAGGATTCATAGCAACCCTGTGAACAGTTTTGAACCCTGTCCTATACTGTGCCATCCTCATCATCCCTGACACACTTAAACCTACTGCTGCAGTCACTATGTCAATCCATCTGGTTGAAGGTCTTCCTCTGGGTTAGTTCATCTAGCTGAGGGTCTTTTTCTCTTTTGCCAGTCCTCCACTTTTCCCTCTACCATGATGTCCCTTTCCAACAAATAGCCTCCTAGTAACAGACCTGAAGTATGTGAGAAGAGGCTCTGCCATCCTTGCCTCCAACAATCAGTCTGGCTGCACTTTCTCCTAGATATATCTGCTTGTTCTTTTGGCCATTGATGGGATACTCAGTACTCTTTTCCAACACCACAGCACAAAGGCTTCAATTCTTCTGTCATCTTTATTCACTGTCTAGCTCTAAGATGCACAGCAAGTGAAAGAAAAGACCATGAGTGAACTAAGCACACCATAGTCTTCAAACTGGTATCATTACTCCACAATAATTTGGAGAGGTCCCTAAGTACAGACTTTCCTACTGCAATACATCTCCTGATTTCCTGGCTGCTGGTACCAAAGGAGATTTTGGATCCAAATAAGATAAAGTCATTGACAGTTTCAATCTTTTCACCATCTATCATGATGTTGCCTAATGGTCCAGTCGTGAGAACTTCTGTTTTCTTAACATTGAGATGTAATCCATATTGAAGTTTATAGTCACTGATCTTCTGCAGTAAGTTTTTCAAATATTTGACAACTCAAATATTAGGCTTGTTTCATTAAGTTACTGACTTAAATATTTATTTTCATGTTTTTCAAGATGTCTATGCTATTATGTTTATGCTTTGGTGACACAGTCTGTAGGGAGTTGTGCTGCTAACCCAAAAAAGTATCTCTCTGGCCATCTGGATCCACCAGCAGCTCCATGGGAGAAAGATAGGACATCTCCTCTCTGACTTACAGCCTCTGAACACCCAGAAGGTCAGCTGTGAGTCTTTTCTGACTCAATGGCAATGAATGAGTGAAACTATGCCATGTGCACTGATAAGCAAAGGTTATTCTTCAAATGAAGGAAGCATTAACCTCTATATAATAAGAATATATAACATACTACATTATAAGAATACATTATAAGACTATAGAATACATAAGAATAAAAAGAATATATAACCTCTATATAATAAGAATACACACACACAAGATATGCCCTCAAATTAGGAAATTCTAACTTCTTTTAACAAAGTAGTTTTTAAGAACATGGATTCAATCAGGCAAAATTACAACAAAAAATGGTGACACAGTCTTTCTAGAACTTGAATAGATCTCATGAATCTATACAACTAAGACTAAGCAGAAAGGATCATCTTCGAGATCTACCCAAAAATTCTTACAGGGGGAAAAAAAATTATGTAATTTATACTTTATCAATTTGATACATATTTGACATTAAATAATATAATTTCTGCCATATTTAAAACACTGGTATTATCTGAAAGTTTGTACATGTAAAATGTCCATGGGAAAAATCTATGGATAAAGTTATCATAACCAGAGATAAAGGATATTATGCAAATACAGGCAGTTTTCACCTCTGTTACAATAACCCTGGACATAAAATTTACACATTTCCTTTTTCTTCTCTAGTTCTGCATCATGATCAAATTTACACTGGTCACCCTGGACAAAAGAAGGAAAAAGAAAGGCCATTACTTTTAATAGTGAAACCATTACATTTTGATTGTCACTAAACTTCAGATTAGCAAATGATAACAGAAATAACAAAGGTTTTCGTGGCAGTATGCTCTGAACCTTAGATAGTTACTACATGATATAATCACATCATACATATCTGCCTAGATTTCTGTCAAGTCTTAAATGCTTTTCAAAACTTTTTATAAAAAAATACCCATTTCATCTACTTTCTTAAACATAATATAATTTCATTAAATTTTCTAACTGAACATTTTCAGAAGGAAACTCATAAATGGAATGCATAAAGATCAAACTCCTAGGAGTCTGTGAGCGTTAGTGTGCTGCAATGGACCAGTATTGGCCATTTTTAATTAGATAATCATATGATCTATTACATGGGAAAGGACAAATTGAGGAAGAATTGTGTTTCATTCATAGTAAAAACCAACATTTCAGCTTCAACACAATGAAGTGCAATGCTGTAAGTGATAAAAGACTATACATATGTATATAAGTATGATCTGTTAATACAGCTATTATTCATATATGTGTACCAACCACAAAAGCCAAAAATGAAGAAACTGAGGACTTCTACCAACTTTTGCAGTCTGAAATGAATCGAACGTGCAATCCAGCTGTTTTAGTAGGTACTGGGGTCTGGAAAGTAAAAGTTGGCCACAAAGGAAGCAAACTGATGGTTGGAAAATACGGAATGGGAAAGCAAGTGAAAGAATTCTGTACAATGATTTCCTGCAGATACCTTTAAAAACCATAAACAGTAGTTATAAATATGAACCTCACCTGATGGCCTACACAGGAATCAGACAGACTCTATCTGTGTAAATAATCAATGGAGAAGCTCAATATCAGCAGTCAAAATAAGGCCAGAGACTGAATATGAAACAGACCATCAATTACTCTGGTGAACGTTCAAATTGAAGTTGAAGAAAATTAAAATAAGACCCTAAGAACTAAAACACAACCCTGAGTCTATCTTATCTGAATTTAAAAACCATCTCAAGAGTATATTTGATCTACAACTAGGAGAAGATAAAATAGATGAATGGGACCTTCTAAGAATCAAATTCCTATGCACATCCAAAAACTTCTCCAACAGGGTAAAAAGGGAAGCCACAGACTGGGAAAAAGTGTTTGGTAATGACATATCAGATAAGGGACTTATATCTAGAATTTATAAAATACTTGAGCACCACAACAAGATAAAGGTAAACAATCTCCATAATAGTCTATGTGTTTCCTACTGCCAAAGGGGCCCTTTAGAGTAGTGAGAGAAGATCTTCACCCTGAAACCCACAGCGTCCCTTTTCAGCAGGAAGTAGCTAAGAGAATACGCCATCCCCTTTTCCTTATGACTCAGGGTGAAGTCTCTCTCAAGGAGGAGTGATAGGGAATGGCAAAGGACACACTGACAAAGAAGATTAATCAGAACTGGCTTTGACAAGCACTGTGGCATTTGGACAAGAACAAACTGGGAGGAGGGCAGAGAGAATGGTGCAACAATGAATGAATGGAAACCCAAAATCTCTGTAAATGTTTATGAAAATTAATAAAATATAATTACAGAAAAAAAAAGAAAAATGGGTACAGGATATGAATAGACACTTCACCAAAGAAGACATTCAGATGGCCAACAAGCACATGAAGAAATGTTCAAAATCCCTAGCTCTAAGAGAGATGCAAATCAAAACAACTATGAGATAATCATCTCACCCCAGTCAGAATAGCAAAATTTAACAGAACAGCAAGCAACAAATGCTGGCGAGGTTGTGGAGAAACTGGAACCCTTATTCACTGTTGGTGGGAGTGTAAAATGGTGCAACCCCCGTGGAAAGCGGTATGGCGCTTTCTCAAAAAGTTGCAAATAGAGATACCATTTGACCCAGAAATCCCACTACTGGGAATATACCCCGAAGAGACCATAACTGAATTATATACATATATACACACACAAAAATCATTCTCAATGGAGAAAGACTACAGCATTCTCATAGCAAACAGGGACCAGACAAAGATGCCCACTGTCATCACTTCTATTCAATAATGGATTAGAAGTACTTGCTAGGGTACCATGACAAGAGAAGGAAATAAAAGGCATCCAGATCAGCAAAGAAATGGTAAACTATCGCTATATGTGGATGATATGATAGTGTACACAGAAAACCAAGGACTCAACAAAATAACTGTTAGCGTTAGTAGACCAGTTTAGTATAGTGGCAGAATACAAAATCAGTATCCAAAAATCAGTGGGATTCCTCTACAGTAACAAAGAGAACTCAGAGAAGGGAACCAAAAAAGCAATACCATTTACAATAGCCAATCACAGACGGAGATACTTGGGAGTGAATCTAACTAGAGATACAAAAGACCTGTACAAAGAAAACTACAGAACATTTCTGCAAGACACAATAATAGACCTAAATAAATGGGAAAATGTGCCCTGTTCATGGATAGGAAGACTCAATATTGTGAAAATTACAATCCTACCATAAGCAATCTATATGTTCAATGCCATCCCAATACAGATTTTTTTTTTCCAATTCTTATCTCAAGGAGAATGAAAGGGAAATTGTCAAATTGATTTGGAGAGGAAAGAGAATCCAATGAACAAAGTACTACTGAAAAACAAAAATGAAGAGGGAGGCACAGCACTCCCTGACCTCAAAGCCTACTACACAGCAGTAGTAACCACAACAGCCTGGTACTGGTACAATGACAGGCACACAGACCAACGGAACAGAATCAAGAACACAGAAATAGACCCAGCTACGGTTGCTGTGATGTTAAAAACTGTGACACTGATGTGTCAAATGTGATAAGGATTACCCATGGTGGACAGTATTTGGTGGAGCTCCCAGATTAAAACAAGATTGGAAGCAGGAGTGGCATCCTCTTCCAAAAGAGCTTGCCTCCAAAAACTCTATGAACACGGAGAAACGATGAAAGTTATGTGTTTAGTTCTTTTGTTCATAGAGTTGCTATGAGTTGTCTACAACTCGACAGCAACTAACAACAACAACATTTATGGTCAATTAATGTTCAACAAGGAAACAGAACCTATCAAATGGGAAATGACAACCTCTTCAACAAATGGTGCTGGCAAAACTGGACTGGTACCTGCAGAAAGCTGAAACAGAATCCACATCTCACACCATACACTACAATCAACTCAAGACGGATCAGAGACTGGGAGAAAAGCTCAAAACCATAAAGCTAATAAGAGACAAACTGGAACCAAGCATAGAAGGCCTAGTCTATATACTGCTATATACAGCCAGAAATGCACAATGAGAAGAGGATAAAATTGATGAATGGGACTTTCTAAAGATTAAATCTCTGTGCTCATAAAAACTTTTTCCAACAGTGTAAAAAGAAAGCTTACTGACTGAGAACAAACATTTGTCAATAGCATCGCAGACAAGTATCTCATAATAAAAGTTTACAAAATATGCCTGGGCCTCCACAAGAAAAAGACTGATAATCCAATTACAAATGGGCAAAAGACAATGGAAAGTCTTTTCACAGAGGAAGACAATCAGGTGGCCACAGATAATGTGAAGAAATGCTGAAAATCACTGGCTATAAGACAGATGCACATCAAAACCACAATGAGATACCATCTCACCCCTGGAGCAATGGCAACATTTAGTAGGGCTGTTGTTATGTGCTGTCCAGTGACTTGCAACTCATAGTGACCCTATGTACAACAGCCCTGAAACCTGCTCTATCCTGTGCCAATCGCGCTGCCTCTGACACACCCATCCCAATTACCCAGTCACTGAATCAATCCACCTCATAGAGGGCCTTCCCCTCCTGTGCCGTCCCTCCACCCTCCTGAGCATAATGTCCCTCTCCAAGGACCTGTCCCTCCTTGCAACATGTCCAAAGTATGTCAGACAAAGCCCCAGAATCCTTGCCTCCAAGGA